AATGAAATTGGACCCTTACCTCATACCACATACAAAAAGCATCTCAAAATACATAAAAGGCTTAAATGTAAAAAGTAAAATTTTACTCAGCTCCTTGAATCCACGGGTTCCACATCAATGGATTCAACCAATGCCAGATCAAAAACTATTAGAAAAAAAATGCCAAAAAGTTTCAAAAGGAAAAACTTGAATTTACCACATTCCAGCAACTATTTACATAACATTCACATTGTTTTTACAACATTTATATAGCATTTATATTGCATTAGTTCTTATACACAATCTAGGAATGATCTGAAGTATACAGGAAGATGTACCTACGTTATGTGCAAATACTATATCATTTTATATAAGAGATTTGAGCATCCATGGATTTTGGTATCTGTGGGGTGTCCTGGAACCAATCCCTCATGGATACTGAGGGACGACTCTGTAAAATCTCCAATAAAACATAGGGATAAACCTTCATAACCAGCAACCAAAAGAAAAAAATTAGATTTCCTTAAAAAGCTTTGTGCATCAAAAAAATGCAATTTAGAAAGTGAAATGACAGCCCACAGAATGGAAGAATTTCACATTATATTTATATCTGATAAGTGTTTATCCAGGTGTATCAAGAACGTTTACAACTCATCAACAAAGACAAATAACCCAATTTTAAATGTGGACAAAGGACTTAAATAGACCCTTCCCCAAACAAGACATGCAGATGGTCAACAAGCAGCTGAAAAGATAGGATGGAAATGCAACTTAAAACCACAATGCAGTAATAATGCCTTCACACATGCTAAAATGGGTATAATCAAAAACATTTAAAATAACAAATGTTGGCAACAATGCAGAGACACTGAAACTTTTAAACCTTATTGTGGAAATGGAAAACGGTGCAACCTCTGTTTACTCTATGAATATACAATTATCTATGGTTCAACAACTCCACCCCTAGATATAGAACCCAAAGAACTGAAAACAGGTGTACACATCTATTGACAGCAGCACTGTTCACAACAGCCAAAAGGTAGAAACAATGCTAATGTCCACCAATGGGTAAATGGATAAGTGACATGGAGGCTGATCCATATTATTCTGTCTTAAAAGGAATCAAGTGAAATGATATAGTCTCTGTTGAAAACAGTATGGCAGTTCCTCAAAAACTTCCACATAGAATTAACATATAATCCATCAATTCCACATCAGGGTAGACCCAAAAGATTGAAAGCAGGGACTGGAACAGATACGGGTACGCTCATCTTCACAGCAATATTAATCACAGTAGCAAAAGGTGGAAGCGACCCAAGTGTCAATGGATGAATGGATAAACTAAATGTGGTATACACAAAAAGCATTGAAAATTCATCCTTAAAAACTAAGGAAATTCTGACACATGCTACAACATATATTAACCTTGATCCATTATGATAAGTGAAATAGCCCTGTCACAAAAGAACAAAAATGATATGATTCCACTTATATGAGGTATCCAGAGAAGTCAAGTTCAAAGGCAGAAAATAGAATGCAGTTGCTGAGGGGAATTAGTGTTTAATGGCTACAGAGTTTCACTGGTGAAAATGGAAAAGATCTGAACATGGATGGTGAGGATATTTGTACAACAATATGAGTGTGGTTAATGCCATAGAACCGTGTACTTAAAATGGTTTAAATGGTAAATGTTATGTACATTTAATCACAATAAAAAATGAATGAAGGGCGCAGTGGTTGAGAGTCCGCCTGCCGATGCAGGGGACACGGGTTCGTGCCCCGGTCCGGGAAGATCCCACATGCCGCAGAGCGGCTGGGCCCGTGAGCCATGGCTGCTGAGCCTGCGCGTCCAGAGCCTGTGCTCCGCAATGGGAGAAGTCACAACAGTGAGAAGCCCACATACCGCAAAAAAAAAAAAAAAAAAAAGAATGAAGTACTGATACATGTTCCAATACAGAAAAGGTCACCCAGATCTTACTCATTCTATGCACTTTCAATCCATCAAGGTTGTGATAATGAGGGAAAGTATCACTCATCATTTCAGAAGAACAAAACAGGATCAGAATGAAAAGAGACATTTCCCTAGAGTTGGGGCAGCTGGTGAAAGTTGAAGTGGGCCTGTGAATTGCATCATAATGTGGAAACCATAATATTTCCTCATGTGGAGGTTTCGTGCTGGTTCCCTGGAAGAGTGTCCCTATTTTGGGACACTGAAGTGTTTTGTGTACAGTGGCAAATGTGAGTACTTTGTACTGCTATTTTAAATTTTCTATACGTTTGAAATTACTGGTAAATAAATTACTTTTCAAAACAGTCATGTCAATAAAAGGAAAGAAATGTAGAGAAGACAAACAACCTTTGCTATAGAGACCAAGGCCTACCCAGATCCTGCTCACCCAAAATGATGATGCAATTCACCCTTGTAGGACTTCACACGTTTTTAAGGGACACTGTGGGAAGATTATATTAGTAGCCACTATGTCTTGGGTGTTGTGTATGACCTGGATGTGGTAGAAACAGTGGGATTTCTAATTCCAGTTTTCTGTATTAAATCACCAAAAAACTGTTAGAACCAATAAATGAATTCAGTAAAGCTGCAGGATACAAAATCAATACACAAAAATCAGTTGTGTTTTTCTACACTAATAATGAACCATCAGAGAGAGAGAAATCAAGAAAACAATCCCATTTACAATAACATCAAAAGAACCAACTACCTAGGAATAAATTTAACCCAAGATGTGAAAGAGCTGCACACTGAAAACCTTAAGACATTTGATGAAGAAACTGAAGACACAAATAAATGGAAAGATATCCTGTGCTCATGAATGGAAAGAATTAGTAGTGCTAAAATGTCCATTCTACCCAAAACAGTGTGCACATTCAATGCAATTCCTATCAAAATTCCAATGGAATTTTTCACAGAGGCTGAACAAACAATCCTGACATTTGCATGGAACCACAAAGGACCCCGAACAGCCAAGGGGATCCTGAGAAAGAAGAACAGCAGCTGGAGGAAACTCACTCACTGACTTGAAACCATATTACAAGGCTACAGTAACCAAACAGTGTAGAAATGGCACAAAAAGAAGCACACGGGCCAGAGGAATAGAATAGAGAGCCCAGGAAAAAACCACACATATGAGGTCAGTTAATTTATGACAAAGCTGCCAGGGATATACATCAGGGAAAGGACTGTCCCCTCAATGAACTGTGTGCGTGATAGACAGAAGGAGAGAATTACTGTGTTGGTGTCTTGGGGATATTTGGAGGAGTTTCTGACAGTGGGGACGCAATCTGTCCATCTTTTCCCTCCTTGGCAGAAATCTCCATGACATGAGCCTCTCTAAGAATCCTCCCCGAATTGGGGCCTGAAGAAATCAGAGCTGAGATTCCAATTGTCTTTACAGACAATATCGCAAGTATAACTATTACTTCAATAAGATAATTAAAAATGCTATTATTGGGAATTCCCTGGCAGTCCAGTGGTTAGGACTCCACGCTTTCACTGCTGCAGGCGTGGGTTCAACCCCTGGTCAGAGAACTAAGATCCCACAAGCCACATGGCATGGCCACACACACACACACACACACACACACACACACACACAAAATGTTATTATTGCCCTTTATTCCAAATGTGTAAGAGGGGAAGTGTGGTTCCATGCACATTCCATTCTAAACACTACGAGCCTAGTGTTTAGAGCTGTCTGATTTGATTGGACCTGTTCATTCATCCCCGACTGGCTTCAAACCCATCTGAATTACTGGCAATGACCAAGCCGAATCCAGAGACTCACCAGCGGGAAGGACACTGATGGAAACTTTCCTATTACCTGTCCTGTTGGTTTCTCTGCACCTTCTGGTCACTAGGTTGTGTCACTCCCTATGGTGCTGGGGTATCAAGTTTTTAATACGATTATCACCAATTATGAGACTAGAAAGAACAGAAATTCAGGCTATCCCATGAAATCTCTCTGAAACTAGAGGACAGAGTCACTTTATTTTCCTGGTTTAACAGGTCAGTTAGTTGTTGCTCATTACTAACTAGCCCTCTTTTACCATCATGCCAGGCAGTCAACTGAGATTTACTCATATTTATATTTACACTAGTTCTCCCTCAAAGAGCCTTCTGGATCAAAAGTGTGCACAACATCACCTCAGTCTGGAAATACTGGAAAGGCAGAATAAATCCAGTTTAATGTGACTTATGTAAATCATTTCTTACAGGGAATTCTCTTAGTGGGAAAGGTCAATGTTTTCCACCAAGTAAAAATAAATATAATACTGATCTGATCTCATCTGATCTCAAAATCGTGTTTTCTATAGGCACACATACAAACACACACACACTGGTATGGGCACACACACATGCACATGGGCAGACACACACCCTCTGCTAAAGTTACCAATAGCTTTTAAGGTCAGTGAAATCCATGATTACGAGCTTACGCTGTGGAATGAGCTGGATCTGGGTTTAAATCCTGCTTCTGGCTGTGCAACAGGGCACTTTACCTCCCTGCATGGTTCTCCTCTGCTGGTAAACAACACCCATGACAGAAGGGTTAATGTAAGGATCAGACAGAACAGTGCCCACTAAACTGGTGCTTCTCCAGCTCCACAGTGCACACGAATCATCTGGGAATCGTGTTACATTGGAGATGCTGATTCCGATTCTCAAGTGGGGCTTGATGCTCTAAGTTCCTAGGTGACCTTACACTGCTGGTCCATGCACCAAACTTGGCGTAGCAAAGCACATACTGAAACCTTACAAAAGGGAAACCAAAATTGCTATCCAGTGGTCCTGCCAGCCAAGTAAGAGAAGAAAGCTAAGAGGATTTTTTTGGTGCCCAGTGTGAGCTTGGTGTAAACTCAGTTTCTCTAGGTGTGGAGAAGGTGACACGTCTGGGGCCAGGCTTTACTCTGTCCCCTTATGAGCCTCAGCAATGACTTAATTTCCATTCTTCTGCCCAGGGTCAGTCAGGGGCCATGCGAACCCACAGAGATGGGGAGTCTCATACCTGTCATAGTCCTGGCAAATCTCCCCCACGGCCAGCAAGGCCTTCAGGTACTCGCTGGGCTGCTAGGCGTAGATGTAGTGCAGGGAACAGCTGTTCCTGGGGTCCCCATTTGAGGCGGTGGACTCTATAGCTACCTGGAAGAGAAGACAGGCGAATGGGTGGATTTAAAGTGAACGCATCTGTACGACAAAGGAGGCAAGACTATACAATGGTGGAAAGACAGTCTTTTCAACAAACGGTGCTGGGGAAACTGGTCAGCTACATGTAAAAAAATGAAATTAGATCATTCTTTAACACCATACACAAAAATATGCTCAAAATGGATTAAAGACCTAAATGTGAGACTGGACACTATAAAACTCCTAGAGAAAAACATAGGCAGAACACTCTCTGACATAAATCACAGGAATATCTTTTTCGGTCCATCTCCGAGAATAATGGAAATAAAAACAAAAATAAACAAATGGGACCTAATTAAACTCAAAAGCTTTTGCACAGCAAAGGAAACCATAAACAAAATGAAAAGACAACACACAGATTGGGAGAAAATATTTGTAAATGATGTGACCAATAAGGGATTAGTCTCCAAAATTTACAAACAGCTCATGAGGCTTAATAACATCAAAACAAACAACCCAATCAAAAAATGGGCAGAAAACCTAAATAGACATTTCTCCAAAGAAGATATATAGATGGCCAAGAGGCACATGAAAAGATGTTCAACATCGCTAATTATTAGAGAAATACAAATCAAAACCACAATGAGATATCACCTCACACCAGTCAAAATGGCTATCATCAAAAAATCCACAAACAATAAATGCTGGAGAGGGTGTGGAGAAAAGGGAACCCTCTTGCACTGTTGGTGGGAATGTAAAGTAGTACAGCCACTATGGAGAACAGTATGGAGGTGCCTTAAAAAACTAAAAATAGAGCTACCATATGACCCTGCAATCCCGCTCCTGGGCATATATCCAGAGAAAAACATGGTCTGAAAGGATACATGCACCCCAATGTTCACTGCAGCACTGTTTACAATAGCCAAGACATGGAAGCTACCTAAATGTCCATGCAACAGAGGAATGGTTAAAGGAAGATGTGGTACATGTACATAATGGAATATTACTCAGTCATTAAAAAGAATGAAATAATGCCATTTGCAGCAACATGGATGGACCTAGAGACTGTCATACTGAGTGAAGTAAGTCAGACAGAGAAAGAGAAATATCACAATATCCCTTCTATGCGGAATCTAAAAAGAAATAATACAAAGGAACTCATGTACAAAACAGAAACAGCCTCATAAACTTAGAGAACGAACTTATGGTTACCAGGGGGGAAGGGATAGTCAGGGAGTTTGGGATCGACATGTACACACTGCTATATTTAAGATGGATAACCAACAAGGACCTAATGTATAGCACACAGAACTCTGCTCAATGTTATGTGGCAACCTGGATGGGAGGGGAGTTTGGGGAAGAATGGACACATGTATATGTATGGCTGAGTTGCTTTGCTGTGCACCTGAAATTATCACAACAGTGTTAAGTGGCTATACCCCAATATAAAATTAAAAGTTCAAAAAATAAAATAAAGTGAACACATCTTGTAGGAATTGCAATCAGCCCTGAGAGAGACACGGCCTGAGGGGGTGGGGGGAAAGCAGCACCTTATACACACTGCTGATAAGTGATAAGTAGGGTTAAAGAACAAATTCATTAGCTTTAAAAACTAGTTACTAGGGAATTCCCTGGTGGTCCAGGGGTTAGGACTAGGCACTTTCACCGCCGAGGGCCTGGGTTCAATCCCTGGTCGGAGAACTAAGATCCTGTAAGCCAAGGGATCTTTTTTTAAAATAATTAATTAATTAATTAAATTTATTTTTGGCTGCATTGGGTCTTCGTTCCTGCGTGCAGGCTTTCTCTAGTTGTGGTGAGCGGGGGCTACTCTTTGTTGCGGTGCATGGGCTTCTCACTGCTGTGGCTTCTCTTGTTGTGGAGCATGGGCTCTAGGTGCATGGGCTTCAGTAGTTGTGGCACACGGGCTCAGGAGCTGTGTCTCGCAGGCTGTAAAGAGCAGGCTCAGTAGTTGTGGCGCACGGGCTTAGTTGCTCTGCGGCATGTGGGATCTTCCCAGGCCAGGGCTCGAACCCGTGTCCCCTGCCTTGGCAGGTGGATTCTTAACCACTGTGCCAGCAGGGAAGCCTGGAAGGTCAGTTCTAATGTCTTTAAAAATGTGACATTTTATTGGAAGTGCATTTTATGTTTTTGTTTTTTTGGCCGAGCCATGCAGCATGTGGGATCTTAGTTTCCTGACTAGGGATGGAACCCGTGCCCCTTGTAGTGGAAGCACAAAGTCTTAACCACTGGACAGCCAGGGAAGTCCCTGGAAGTGCATTTAAAATTTTCTGTCTTGATATTTGGAGACTCCAGTGGACTAGCTACTGTTGCCAAGGCAGTATGACTTTGGGCTATTGCAGGGATCCAAAGGGGTTTTTGTTGGTTTTTTAAAAAAATATTAACATGAGAAAAATGGAAAAAGTAAATATAGAAGCCAAATTCAGCCTCTTTTCTCTTCAAAATGCATAAAATACAGATCTTCTGGTTATATCTCTGATTAAAAAATACAAAGACTCATGAAGTGATTTTCCCAACTGGCAGAGAGACTTTCTCCCAGTCGGTAGAGCTGGTACCATCAGAGTCCTCTTCTCATTCTTTGTTCTGGATTGAGACCCCTCTGAAAATGTGGGACATTGATTCTACACAATATTAACTCCTCACCTCCCAACATGTTTACTCCAAATGGAAAAATCCTTTATGTGAATAAAGGTGGCCATCGAGGTCCAGAGTGTTCTCTTTGAGGGAACTCATGAAGAGAAGACAGAGAAACGCATGGTGCAAACCATACAAATACATTCAGTTGGGTTCCAAAAGATTCAAATGCAGTTGAGAATAAAGATCCCACCACCAACCCATTTTTTTTCCTCTGTGATTATTCCTTCTAGTCAGTGTAATGTAAAAGTGTTTGGTCACGAAGATGGGCTCAAATCATCTGATGATGGGAAGAATCAAAGCCTCTATTTCCTGGAATACTACATAAAACTTCTGTAGAAACAGATAACATCTTTGCTTCCTACTAACTGGAATGTGGTATTTTAAAATCAGAAGTCCAACTGCAGATCAAAAAACCCTGTAGTACAAGGCACTTTTTTTTTTTAAATAAATTTATTTAATTTTGGCTGTGTTGGGTTTTCGTTTCTGTGTGTGGGCTTTCTCTAGTTGCGGCGAGCGGGGGCTACTCTTCAACGTGGTGCGCGGGCTTCTCATTGTCGTGGCTTCTCTTGTTGCAGAGCACAGGCTCTAGACGCGCAGGCTCAGTAGTTGTGCCTCAAGGGCTTAGTTGCTCCGCAGCCTGTGGGATCTTCCCAGACCAGGGCTCGAACCCGTGTTCCCTACATTAGCAGGCAGATTCTTAACCACTGCGCCACCAGGGAAGTCCAGTACAAGGCACTTTTTAATCAAAACCTCCAAAACCAGGGTCTCCTTAAGACAAACCAAGGGTTCAAACAAAATGCTATGTTGTTACCAGAGACCGGGAGATAAACAGGAAGTCTCTGAAGTGCAATGAAAATACAACTCACAAACCTCAGAGTAATGATTTTTAAAGAACTGTTTGGAAGCTCTAGGAAAGTGCCTGTCTCATGCTGGGAAGCTCGCTGGACCCCAACGGCTCCTGCTCCCAATAAATGATGCCGGGAGTGTGTCTGGAAGAATAAACATGAGACTGAGCATTCATAGGAACGGTATAGGTTTGATGTCCATGTGCGTCTTCACACGGGAACACGTGAGCAGATCTTTAGTTCCATTCTAGGCAAGCTCCTCTCATCCGACCATTCAAAACTGCCCAGCCACTCCTACCATGGACAGATACTTCCTTTCACTGAATGCTCAGGGGAAATCACCTGGTTTGGATGCGGTTTGAGTTTGATCCTGTGACACCATCAGCATTTCCCACCAGAGATAAATGAGGAGATTCTGGCCTTTATCAGTATGCTATGAACACAGGTGTCCTGGCTGTACTTGCCAACCCTCCTTCTATTTTTATTCACCTATCTACCTGTAAGTGCCTTTGACCTACTCTGAGCTCAGACCCTTGATCTATTAGAGTAACTCTGTCAGTCTTTCTTTAAAAATGAACAGGCAATAAAATGAATTTAACCCAGAAGCAGCAGCTCAGCAAGGGAAATGAAAACATCAGAAGCACCTTTTCGGCCGAGGCCAGAGCTTCAGGGGTCCCTCCAGTCCTCTCCCCCGCCCCCTCCTCCCTGGTACTTTATCTAATAGAGGAAGGAGCACGGAGGGACTTGGCTGAATCAAGGGACCTGCGAGACTATGGATGAGTTTTAAGCCCGAGACGCAATTAAATATTATTGGAACCTACTGTAAGGGGGGCGGGGAGGGGAGGTTAGGAGGCTGAGAGGCTGAGTCCCAACGCAGCGGGGTCCAGCCCCGGGACCCAGCGCAGACGAACCACCCCCACCCCGCCCCCTCGATTCCCAGCAGCCAGGAGGAGGAGCCCTGCGACTCCAGCCCGGACTTTGCGCCTCCCCCTCCCCGAGTCCCCTCAGGACGCACAAGTCGGGCCCCTTGCTCACCCCAGACCGCCCGAGCAAGCCGGGCGGTGGGCAGGGGCGAGATGAGGGGCCGAAGTTCCCCTGGACGAAGATGCTGCGCGCAGCTCTTCCTAACGAGCAGGGGCGGCTCGAAGCGAACCCCTGTGCCTCAAAAGTTGGTCTCGCCGGGAGAGGAGGCCCGGGGACGCGGCGCCGGGGCCGGGCCCAACTTACCTGGCGCGCGGCCCGGAGGGCGGACGGGGCTTAGCTGGCGGGGCCAGTCCAGCCCGCGGCGGCAGTTCGGCCATGGGCGCGGCCGGGCTTCGTGCCGCCCTCCCCTCGGGCGCTGGGCACTCTGCCAGGGTGGAGGGAAGAGACGCCGAGCCGGGAATTCAAGCTCCGCGAGACCCGGGCTCCATTCTGGACGGCGGGGGCGGGGCCGCTTGGCCCACTGTCACGTGCCCGGCCCTATTTCAGGCGCCCTAGCTTCAGAGCAGGTGCCCAGCCTTCAAATCATGTAAACCGGCTCTTTGTCTCTGAAAGGACTCCAGGTCACTGTTTGCCCCTCCAGCCTGCAACTTGAAACGTTGTAACTTCCCCGTTGACCCCAGCGCCTAACATAGCTTCTGGCAGAAAGGCTGAGATCAGTGATTGTTCAACACTCGGATAAGTGAGACCCTTCTCTTGGAGGAGGGGTGTGGGGACAGGAGGAAGAGGCTCAGATGGAAAGGGAAGAAGGAAGTTTGGGGAGAACTCAAGAGAAAGGGCAGGGATGAACACAGCCTGCTCACGCAAATACTGCCGCTTTTACACGCTCCACTGTTCTCGACCACCAGCCCCGTTTTCCAGATGCCAACACCCACGCAGGCCTGCGGCTTGCAAACTGCAAGCCCAAGAGTCAAGCCAGGTAGTTCTGCCTCTGGAGAAACAAAGGGCAGTCAGACTGCAGACAGCCTGTGAGGCTGTGTGGCCACTGGGCCACCCGACCAGGCTGGAAGTGCCTTGTCGGATGCTGAAGGCTGAACTCTGTCTCATCTGTGAGGTGAGGCGATTTGAGCCAGAGAGTCAGGCACCCCGTAGCCAAGCCCTCGTCTCTGGGCACCTCCTTGGGGTTCCGTCAACCCCATCCAGCCCATGCTCTCCAGCAACAAGGACGAGCTGCACTGGCTGCGCTTGGCTGGGCAGGCGTATTCTCTGCAGCACACCAGGGAGCAGGACTTTGAGATGAACGGCCGAGCCCTTTGCATCCTCACCAAGGACGACTTCCCACTCCGCTCCCTGGGTTCAGGTCGGGGTCACTCACTGGCTTCTCTGATGCAAACCGGGGTGGGGGGGAGCGGGGGTGGGGGTGGGGAGCTGTCTTGCTCCCTCCCTCTCCCTTCCCCATTTCCATCCTAAGGCCTCTGCGTAGCATCTCCATCAGCACGAATCTTGTGACGGACATGCCAGCTGACACCTGGTCAGCAGCCTGCCCTCCCGCGCCCCCCCCGCTTCAGCTGACGTTCTGTATGAGTTGCTCCAGTACATCAAGACCCAGCGGCAAAGGGCATGTGGGCCCTTTTTCGGAAGAGCTTTCAGGCAGAGGATGCCCACTCAGCCCTTCCCCTGCTGCCTGGAAGGTGAGGAGGCTCTCTGAGACCCTCCCCCAGATTGGCCTCATCAGAGGGCAGAGCTTCTTCCAGGCAAAATGATGAAAGAGGCAGCATTGTGGGCCAGGCTCCCCATCTCCCCCTGCCCTGCCTCCCCAACTCTCACCCCTGCCCTCTGTGACTGTCCTCTAGCCGAGGGGCCTTGCCTCTCATCTCCCCCTTTCTCTGCTCTCCTCTCCAGCAGAGGGTTGTTTATGTGGCATCCCTCTCTTCTCCTCCTGATCTCTCCATGGAAATTGCTCTCCTCAGGGTCTCCAGGGACCTGCACACAGGGCTGTTCATGTCACTCCCAGTCCTTACTCACTGCTGCAACCTTCCAGTTGCTTGGGCCAAAACGCTGTATGTCATTTTTGATTACTTTCTTTCTCTGTCATCCTCATCCCAACTGTCAACAACTCCTGCTGGCTCTACCTTCAAGATCTACCCAGAATCCAACCACTTCACACACCTGTAGTGCTGCCCAGGTCCAGCCCCTGCCTCCTCTGGAGAACCTCCTCACTGGTCTCCTTGCTTCTACCCTTGATCTCCTATGATCTATTCTCAACAGAGTAGCCAGAGATTCATAAGTCAGGTCATGTTACTTCTTTGCTCAAAATCTTCCAGTGGCTCTCATCTCACTCGTCAAAGCCCCAGTCCATACAACGACCTCCCTGCCCTCTGCTGTCCTCTCCCACTCCTCTCCCTCTTGCTCATGCTTCTCCAGCCACACCAGCCTCCCTGCTCATTGAACAAGCCAGAGAAACCCCTGCCTCAGGGCCTTTGCACTTACTGTTCCCTCTGCCTTGCAACCTCTTCTTTACATGCCCGCATAGCTCACTCATCTACCTCCTTAGGTGTCTGTTCAAATGTTATCATGTCTGTGAGGCATTTCCCAGAATTCTCTATTTGCCTTGTACAGTAGTGCTTTATCCCTTCCCCCCATATTGGATACTACTTCTATTTCCTTTTTTATTTTAATCATCTGTCTTCCTCCCCCTCCCTACCCGACTAGAATATAAAGCTCCATGAGGGCAGAAGCTCTTTTCAGTTTAGTGATGTGTCCCCAACATTCTTAGAACAATGCCTGTCTCATTGAAGGTCCTCCATCAATAGTTATTGGGTGGATGAAGAGGGCACCTGGGTTCTGGACCTGGCTCTGTCACCTCTTGGCATTGTGAACAATTTTACAGATGAGGGAGCAGGTTTGAGAAACTAAGTTACTTGTCTGGGAGCTAGGGTTAGCACCTGGGCTGTCTGGCCCTCACCCACACCCTCCGGTGCTTCCCTGACCTTCTAACCAGGGGCTGGGTGTGGGGAGAGCACTAGGAGTGCAGCCCCACGGGCTCCCGCGCATGTCACTGAGGGGGTCTGGGTTGGGGGAGGCTCTGGGCCCAAAGAATCGATGGTGCTCCTCTGCTTGCAGAGGGGATCGGGGCCTCCTGCAGCAGCCACCAGCCCTGGGGCTTGCCAGCTCCTTGAGCCATGTGGATGCCCCTGGCCTGGCCAGCTGGCCCCTCAGCAGGCAGGAGTCCCTCAGTTTATCTCACTGCGTGGAGCTCAGCTGCAGGGCTGAGGGAGTCTCCTCCTTCCCCACGATGCCACAGGCCCCCATTGATGGCAGGATCACTGGTGAGTAGGAGGCTGTGCTCCCCTGGCACACAGGAGGGAGGTGTGCTGAGGCTAAGTCCCAGAGGGGGGTGGGTGACAAAGAGGAGGGTTATTTTGATCTGGGGAATGAGAGGGTCTGTGCTTGGCAGTGGTGTGTGGAGTAATTCTCCTGTGTGCTGGTCACAGTCTGGTCACAGCAGGCAGAAAGTGCTGCCCGGGATCACCAAGCCCACCCTATGTCCAGGCCAGGGACGATTTACCAGTCATAGTTCAGACAGTCAGACTGGCCTAGGGTATGCCCCCTCCCCCTTTAAAACTTTATTTTTATAATTAATTTTTAAAAATTAATTTATTTTTGGCTGCTTTGGGTCTTTGTTGCTGCGTGTGGGCTTTCTCTAGTTGTGGCGAGCGGGAGCTACTCTTTGTTGCAGTGCGTGGGCTTCTCTTTGCAGTGGCTTCTCTTGTTATGGAGCACGGGCTCTAGGCATGTGGGCTTCAGTAGTTGTGACTCGCGGGCTTAGTTGCTCTGCGGCATGTGGGATCTTCCCAGACCAGGGATCGAACCAGTGTCCCCTGCATTGGCAGGCGGATTCTTAACCACTGCATCACCAGGGAAGCCCCAAAACTTCATTTATTTTTAAATAGTTGAGTGTTTACTATGTGCCAGGCATGGTTCTAAGGCTTTTATTTAACCCCACAACAGCCCTCTGAGGTTGGTATTATTATTAGCCCCATTTTACAGATAAGGAGAATGAGGCACAGAGAGGTTAAGTGACCTTCCCATGGTCACACAGCAGTAAGTGGCAGAATTGAAGTGTGAATCCAGGCAGTCTGACTCTAGGGCCTGAACTCTAATCAGGTGATATACTTCTCCACATTCATTGTTAAAGGACTGACTAACAGACAGGTAACCAGATGGACTGACAGATAAGCTGACTGCCTTCCCAAAGTGTGTTTTCTAGTCATGGCGGGGCCACTACATTTATCCTAAGACACCACAGAGGGGGCAGAAACTTAGCTCCTGGGTTGAAAGTGACTGGGAGTCACTGAAACACAGTTATTTGATTTTAATATAATGCTTAACATTCTTAGAGCACTTACTCTGTACCAGGCACTGTGCTAAGGGTCTTTTGGTCGATTATGTCACTTAATCCTCACATCACCCAACACGAGGAAACTATGGCTCAGAAGAAGTCCGGTAACCTGCCCCCCACGCCCGAGCCAGGTGGCCCAGGTGGGACTTAAGAGCTTGCGCCCAGGCTCCCTCTGCCACTTGCCCTTCATGATAGCACGTTCGATTTTCCAGAACCTCCTGCTAGGGTGCTGGCTGGATAGGATGGATGTTACAATCCTGATTTAATAGAGATCCGGGAGGTTGAGTGACTGGGCCAGGGGCAGAGAGGGACCTGGAGACAGGGTTCCAGCCGCCAGCCACTGGCCAGTGCCCCCGCCACCTGCGCCTGGGCGAAGGGTGTTGGCTTTGGTGTCTGAAGAGCTGGGTTAGGCTCCCCATTCCGCCTGCTCCTTAGGAGCCTGGTGACTGGGTTATGTCCATACCTCTCTGAGCCCATTTCCTCATCCCTTCCTGGGGGTAAAGGTCTCCACCTGTTAGAGTCAGGATGATTGAATGAGATGAGTAATGAGGCCCCACGTGTGGCTGTTTCTGTTAGTACCGTCGTCTTCACCATCCCACTGCACGACTGGGCCCCGGCTTCGAGAGCCCCAGAGCACCTTTCTCACGCTCGTCCTCACAGCTCCATGAAGGCGCCCCGTCTGCACCCTCTGTGCTCAACTGCAGACTGCCAGCTGCTGTGGGATTACAAGTATCAGCTGCTCTCTGACACCTGGTACAAGCCCTACATCAAGTGGGAAGACAATAATGCCAAGATCTTCTGAGTTGTGGATCCAAATGGGCTTGCCAGATTCTGGGGAAACCACAAGGTGAACCTCAGCCAGCGCACAGGATGGTCTCAACACACATGACAGGGCAGGGGCCACAGTGGACCCCTCAGCACTAGGGGACAGGCCTCAACTGATGGGAGCTTCACCAGCAGCCCCAGAAGTGTTGGGATCATATTTTCTTAAATTCTTTTCTTTTTTTTTTTGAATTTTATTTATTTAGTTTTTATACAGCAGGTTCTTATTAGTTATCTATTTTATACAGATTAGTGTATATATGTCACTCCCAATCTCCCAATTCATCCCCCCACTCCCCACCCTCACTTTCCCCCCTTGGTGTCCATACGTTTGTTCTCTACATCTATGTCTCAGAAGCCTTGCAAACTGGTTCATCTATACCATTTTTCTAGATTCCACATATATGCGTTAATATACGATATTTGTTTTTCCCTTTCTGACTTACTTCACTCTGTATGACAGTCTCTCGGTTCATCCATGTCTCTATAAATGACCCAATTTCGTTCCCTTTTATGGCTGAGTAATATTCCATCGTATATATGTACCACATCTTCTTTATCCATTCGTCTGTTGATGGGCATTTAGGTTGCTTCCATGACCTGGCTATTGTAAATAGTGCTGCAATGAACATTGGGGTGCATGTGTCTTTTTGAATTATGGTTTTCTCTGGGTATATGCCCAGTAGTGGGATTGCTGGGTCATATGGTAGTTCTATTTTTAGTTTTTTAAGGAACCTCCATATATTCTCCATAGTGGCTGTTGTTGGGATCATTTTATTTTGGGAGATTCCGAGGGACAGGCAGTTACTTCTTGAGGATGGGGACTGTCCCTGGAACTCAGGAATCTTGCCTTCTAATTGCTTAATTCCACCTTTCCTTAGCATTTAAGGCTTTCAAAGCACGCTTACATGAATTGTGCATCATTTGCTGTTAAGCCAGGTGAGGAAGCTGGTACCCTGGAGGAAGCTGGGACAGAAACCCAGGTCTCAGGCCCTGCAGAATCATCAGCTGTCAGGGCTGGAAAGGCCTGGGGATGACCGAGGCCAGCATTCCTAACGTGAGGAGCGCCCATACCTAAATGGGTGTCTGCCAGGGGATTTTAGGTGGTTTACTCCAAATTCTAATCATTATTTATTTTAGTAAGCATTAGGATGACAAAATTTAACTACTTTGTCAATCTCATGATTGACAGTGGTGATATAAAACCAGTGTGCTAGTCTATAAATAAATTCATATAGGTTAAAAAGAGTCTTTAAAGAAAACTATTAACAATAATGATCAGGCTTCCCTGGTGGAGCAGTGGTTGAGAATCTGCCTGCCAATGCAGGGGACATGGGTTCGAGCCCTGGTCCGGAAAGATCCCACCTGCTGTGGAGCAACTAAGCCAATGCGCCACAACTACTGAGCCTGTGCTCTAGAGCCCGCAAGCCACAACTACTAAGTCCGCATGCTGCAACTACTGAAGCCCTTGTGCCTAGAGCCCGTGCTCTGCAACAAGAGAAGCCACCACAATGAGAAGCCCCACGCACCACAGCGAAGAGTAGCCCCCGCTCGCCGCCATTAGAGAAAGCCCATGCGCAGCAACAAAGACCCAACACGACCAAAAATAAATAAATAAGTTAAATAAATTAAAACAAACAAACAAAAAACCAATAATGATCATCTGCAATATATAGCATCTCCTAAAATGGCACAGCATTTGATTGCCAAGCATTGCTCAGAGGGCTTTGCTTGTATTAACTCATTTAATCCTCACAACAACCTCATGGGGTGGATATTATCAGATGGGGAAACTGAGGCACAGAGAGGTGTATCAACTTGTCCCAGTGTTTGCAGCCAGTAGGTGGCAGAGCAGAGACCTGAATCCAGACCACGTAGCTCTGGGCGCCACCCTGTTTTGTGGCCTCTGGGTAGTGCTGGTGGCTGGAAGGATGCAAATGACTAAAGTTTGGGTGTGCTTATCTGGAGGGAGGGCAACTGAGGCCCCAAGGGCAGCAATTCCATTTAGTGAGCACAGACCACATGCTAAGCACTGTGCTAAGTGCTCTCATGGATTAACTAATTTAATGCTCACAACAAATCTGTGAGATTGATGTTTTTATTTTCATTTTATAGCTGGGGCAACAGATGCAGAGAGGTAAAGAAACTTATCCAAGGTCACACAGCTGCCAAATGGTGGAGCTGGAGCTTAAATTGACACCAAAGCCCAGCCTCTTTGTCCCTACTCTGCACAGTCCACTCCCCAGAGAGAGGAAAACCTGACTTGGTCAAAGTCACACAGCTAGGTGGCAAGGCCCTCATGCTACCCCACCATGCTGTCTCTCCTACTAACTATATATTTATTTGTTACTACTCGTGACATTTGCCATTTAAAAGCAACATGCAATTCACTCCTGGCCCATGGGTCTCAGTCAGGTAGGTGACAGAACCATCCCATTGTTTCTTCCTACACACCCCCCACCCCGGCCTTCCCCTGCCTTTCTCCTTCCCAATGCATGAGAACTTTCATATTCCCTAACAGACCCCTGGGCTGAGGGTCTTAAGAAACCATCCAGTCCAACCTGCTCCCTCCCAGGCCTGGAAGGAGCAGGGTGGGGAGTAGGGGGTGATGTGGGGCTGCTTTTCCTTCCAGAAGCAGGTGAACGTGACCTATGAGAACATGTCACATGCCTTGTGCCCCTACCATAATCTGAACATCATTAAGACGGAACCCAGGCAGAAACTCCTGTTCAGGTGAGTGGCCTAGGGGCCAAGATGCCAGGTGGAGTGGAGCTGGGGTGGGGTGGCCTGGAAGACCTCTGCAGCTGGGGCACGGGCTGATTTGCAGCTGGGGCCTGAATTCCAGATTTCTGAAGACACCCAGGAAGATCAATCAGGACAAGGGCAACAGCAGGGAGCTTCTGGAGAGCCAGGAGCAGGACAGAGTGGACTTTAAGGAGGAGATGCTGGAAGTCTCTCTGTGAAGGACATGTGGACTCCAGACACCGGGCACCAACAGGTCAGAGACTGAGTCTCCCACGAAGGCAGCTAGCTGTTCCTCCCTCCTCCCAGGGCAGCAGGGAACCCCAGCTGGGTTTTGCACTCTCGGATCAGAGCTGGTGTCTCAGACCTCAAAGCTGCCGCCTGGGGACCTGGAACAGCTGAGAACCGGCAGGCCTCACCTCCAGGACACTGTGGGGGCACTCTTTGGATAGGGCAGCCCTGGTTGCTAAGTGGGAGCACAGGGAGTGAACTTTCTCCCTACCCTGCCCCTTAGTACCTGCCCAGCTCAGGAGAGGAAGCCAGTCGCTGAGAGAACATCCAGCCCAATTCCTTCAATTTACGGAAGAAGGAAGCAGAAGTCCCTCACTGAGCCTCAGTTTTCCTCATCTGCAAAATGGGCAAGCTCATGAAAACCACCCTCAGGGGGCTGGTGCATGAAATGGAAAAAAGAATTACTGCTTTGTCAACCTTAGTAATGATAACAATGATGATGCCTGACAGTTAAGTGCTTACCATGTGCCAGGCCTTGTGCCAAGGGTTCTACCTATATTTTATCTCATTCAATTCACATACCAACCACCGGAGGTTTAAAGATGGGGAAATGGAGGCAGAGGCTTGCAGAGCTGGGATGCTTCCCTCGAACCCAGTGCTGTGACCTGTTTTCTTTTAGTGCCTCGAAATGTGATGGGCACTTCTCAAGCAGAGGCCATAGCCCTACCTCTCTGCCCTCAGCATCTTCATAAACAGTTTATTTCACCTGGCCCAACTCCCTTGTCCTCAGTTTTCAGTCCTTGGCGACTCTGATCATGACCCAGTAAAGATCGCCCACGCCGCCCACATCCTGGCTTCCTATGCTCCTATACCCGTATCTGCCAATTGACCTTGGGCAAGTTATTCTATCTCTTTGGAGCCTCATGTTTCTCATCTGCAAAATGGGGATGCTATTCCTAACCTGACATCACAGGATTCCCAGAAAACTTGAATAAGACCGTAGTTGTGAAGTACGTGACTGCCATCCGTATAAGGAGTTAAGAAAACTCTGCAAACGCAAAGCTGCTCTAAAGCATGAAAATGCCTCTGCTATTGGTTCAGCTTCTCCTCGATGCTCCCCAGCCCCCCAGGTACCTCCTGATGGGGTCAGAGCCTCTGCCCTTGCAACCCCGGGGAAGCTGGCGGAGAAAGGGAAGGGAGTGTTTTCAGTTCATTGAAAACAGAACTTCCTGGATTCGCATCTTCTTTTCTGGAAGGAGGAAACCACCTTTGCCTCTTGCCTCCAGCAGGTCAGGAAAACACCCCCACCGGCCACCCCCATCTGGCTGGACCTGATCTGGCCTTGGGTCACTGTAGCCGAGAAGCTGATTTGGGACTCAAAGCTGTGACTGCTCATAAGCAGGGAAAATCCTGGCTTAGTCCCGTCTTGGGCCCTGGACAATTCCACACTAGAAGAGGCCAGGCAGGGGCCTTGGCCAAAAGGTTTAGCAGGAAAATCCTAGGCCCCTTTAGTCTTCCTGAGACTGTTCCATCTCCTTGACTTTGCTCCAGGATGAACCCATGCCCCATAGCTTTTCTCATCATCCCCAGCCCAGAACTACATAAGTGGACTGGGAGGGACCATCGAAATCAACTTGTCCAGCCTCTCCTCTTACAGACAAGGCAGCTGAGGCCACAGAGGGGGAGTGACATGCCCAAGGACATACAGCCCAGCTCAGCGTGCTGCCTCCTCACGGTGCCTCATTTCTAATTGTCTCGCATCTCATGGGTCCAAGACGTAGAGGTTTAAATGAGAGGATGGAGTCATAAGTCACTTCTTCCAGTTATGATGTTGGCATCTGCCTGCTGTTGTGTTAATGGTTGTCAACAGCTGCATATCCCAAAGACTATGTCTTTACGGCGGTGGGGGGAGGGGGAGTGTTAAATCTCACCCAACGCTGGGACCGTTGGGGCCAGGAGTGAGAAGTGGGCTTGAGCAGAGTCCACCACCCCAGACCCCAGATCCCTGGACTCTCCACTCAGCTCTGGACTGAGCTGCACCCCGTTTCTCCAGGAACTTTAGGCCCTGGTCTGGGATGGATGCCTGGGTACCAGGAATAAAGGGATTCATTCAGCCTTTCCTTCCATGAACATTAATTGAGCACCTCCTGTGTACCTGGCACGAAAGGAAGCTCTGGGTTTCTATCCATTTTTTACACAATTAAATTCCTGAAAAGTGGGGGGGGGGGGTCACTGAAAACAACATATATCAAGATGGACTTCCTCACAAATCATCTTAACAAGCAGGAAATAGAGTCCCATGGTTTGAAAAAGTAGCCAGCCACGTCCTTTTTTGCCAGATTACATTAATGTCAACAGGAAATAAAGAGTTTATGAAAAAAAAGTGAGTGTATTAAGAAGGTCATGATACAAGTCACTGTCTCCATCCAGTCAAGCCATTCACAGCACTAACCCAGGAGCATGGGCTCCATCACGTCCACCTTCTCCTTATGTGGATTCTTTTTTTTTTTTTTAAGATTTTTTTTGATGTGGACCATTTTTAAAGTCTTTATTAAATTTGTTACAATACTACTTCTGTTTTATGTTTTGGTTTTTTGGCCACGAGGCACGTGGGATCTTAGCTCCCCAACCAGGGATCAAACCCGCACCCCCTGCATTGGAAGGCAAAGTCTTAACCACTGGACCACCAGGGAAGTCCCTCCTTATGTGGATTCTTGCCAACAAAGTCTTTTTCTCTTGAAAGAAAGCTCCAGATCTAGCACTTCCCCCCCAGCTTTACTGAGACATGATTGACGTATAATGTTGTGCAAGTTTAAGGTGTACAATGTCCAGCACTTTCTCCCATCCTAGTGGCCCTGCCACGTCTCAAGGCTCTTACTGCAGGAAGCCTGGGCTGATGCTGGTGACACAACGTCTTTCTCATGCAGGATCCTAGTTGTGACAGCCTTTCTTGGCTTCTTCCTCTGGTTCCTCCCTATGGTGTTAATCTACATTTTCTAGTCAAGTGTTCTCTTAAGTTTTATAGAGACACACAGAAAACACACACACTTACAGAGCAAGGGCCTGATGCCTCCAAGCCATCCGGGGTCTGGTGGTGAACGTGAAGGTGGCCCAGGCTCAGGAGGAGCCCTGTGCAATGCTGGTGTCAGGTCCCCTTGGTCCCCTCCTCCACACTGGCTTGACCACTCAGTTTGATGACCTCTGAACTAAGCCACTCCTGGGACAGCCCCAAGATTTGGGTGGGGAGTTTTGAAGTGGGTTGGCCTGAAATCAGAATGTGCATGTTTAAAAAATATTTTTAGTTTTTAAAATTTTATTTATTTATTTAGGCTGCACCACTCAGCATGCGGGATCTTAGTTCCCTGACCAGGGATCCAACCTCTGCCCCTGCAGTGGCAGCTTGGAGTCCTAATCACCTGACTGCTGGGGAAGTCCTCAAAATATGTGAATCGTGATCTTAATTTTTTAAAGTCCCTAATGCTTGTAAATTAACTGCTCCTATGGGGAGGGCTGGGGGTGGTATACAAAGGAGAGTTGGGCCCTGCCCTTGGGAAGTTCACACATCAGTGGGGGAAGCAGAAGCAGCTGATGAGCGGACTTTGTTGCAGTCCCCAGGGGGAGGTCACTGAGAGGTGAATGTGGAGAAAGTAGTGGCTCTGGTGAATTCTGCTTGGGGGGCAGGGGCAGGGAGAGTGTCCTAAGGAGATCACACAGGCTTCTGCTCTGTTTTTCTCCTTCCCTTTTGGAGGGGTGAAGTCTGGAGGTGCAGTGTGGAGGAGGGCCTTCTGATCATGAGGGGTCAGGGAGAATGTGGGGTGCAGGGCAAATGGGAGCAGGGCAGACTGCAGAGGCCCATCCCTGCGGGAGGGCAGAGGGGGTCCCTGAAGTTCATGCTGGGGTCAGCCTGGCTCACTCAGACAGGGAAGCAGACCAGGATTGGGGCTGAGACCCTGAGAGGGTGAGAAGAGAGCCTTTAGGAAGAGGGAGGGGGCCATCCTGTGTCTGACCCATGAGGAATGCAGGGGGAAACTCCCAACAGCACCACCTGCGCATAACTTATTTCATGCGGCAGCTGATGCTATGAGGATATAATACATTGCTTGAAGCCCGTCCACAGGGAGAATTCAGTTGTTCACCCAACAGACTTTACTGGGAAGTGCGGTCCCAGGCCCTGTGCTGGCCCTGTGCACCATGTCACAGGAGCCCGACTGGCCTCTGACACCCAGATCTAGGCTTGGGATGGACAGTTTATTAAAACTGTGCTCTTTTCTCAGGAATGAAGTGAAACTGGAAGGAGAAATGGTGACAGGAGCAGCTGGCCGGGGATGGGGGCACGTTCTCCGCAGGGGCAGCTGAGCCCTGTGGTTCACTGCCCAGAGCAGAGTCTGAGGTGGGAGCTGGGGCCCATTTCAGGGTTTTAGGAGGGATGAGCAGAATCCAGCACTCACCTCAGATGGAGCTGCACTGGCCCACTGACGCTCAGATGTTTTCACGTCTGTTCACATTAAATGAACTCTGTGTGGTAAGGCTAATGCATGGAGCTCATCATGGCTTCTACCGCAGTTACAGAGGCCTTTGATGATAATAAATGATACAGTAAGATAATAAACAAATAATAGTGTGACAAACATAATGAAAATATGCACTTTGGCAGACAAAATCAGAATCTGAAACCCATGTAGCAAAAACATGGAGGTTTTTTTGTTTTGTTTTTTTACTTCTAGGCAAAGACAATTCAAGGTCACTCCCAAATACAAAGATGAGTGGAATGAACAAATGAGCCTCCTCCTGCACCCTTCCCCCGCCCTCAGGTAGCTTCCCAGTTTGTCATCCCAGGAATCCGGAATAAAGTGTGGGAAGGACACGTTCCCTCCAAATCCAGGGATATGCCTCAGCAACTCCTGAGTCCTGTTAATAAGTCCTCCCTGTACTAGTGACCTCTCTGACGCCTGCTGGTGCCTGGCCCAGTGCAGGGCGCCCCCCTGATTTC